AAAGCTTATGTTCACAAAACTTGGAGAGATGAAAGGAATTAAATGAAAAAATGTTCTGTGTAGCCAAGGAGGATGGGATTATTCCTTGAATAGCTTCTTGCCCATCTCCATACCCAGCAGGAGCTAAGTCAGAAGTTCCCCTGATTTGCATTAACTAATGTGGGTTACAGAATTAAGCTTTCCTTGGTGGAAGATTTGGAATATCCTGTTGCAGAATGTGAGGTGTTTTTAAATAAAATAAAATAAAATACTTTTTTTCAACACCGATAATACGCAATCCTAGCCTCTTGGTTAACACGCAAATTGCAGATGATTTAAGAACTGGCTGGAGCTGGTGAGAGAGTGGTTTAAAACATCTGGAGGGCACCGGGCTGGGGAAGGCTGCGTAAGAATCCTCCCAGCTGTTTTTCTGATCCCAGGCATGTGCATTTCATTTTTGAGTCCTGGCAACACCACCAGCTTCAAAGAAGCAGATTATAGAACAGATACGCTTTATTGGCTGTGAATCTCTCGGTTTCATTGAAACGCTAGTACGTTTTATTAGAATTTGGAGACTGGAGATGTTGGTTGTCGTCAGTATCCTTCCTTCGCGAGAGAGCAGGCAAAATTTAGGAGGTGCATCATTTGGGACCCCTCTCAGCCTGGAATTAATTAGTGCAGCAGTTGTCTTATCTCTGGGCAATCACAGTCCAATTTATTGGTTTACTAATCAATTAAACTGTTGCAGAAGTCCTGCTTTGTTTTGTTTTTTAATTATATTTCATTGGATTTTCCAAAAAAGAACACATACACTCCAATACATCATGAATTTTTATTTTGTTTTGTCGACTTTCCACCCCATTTCCCACAGTGCTTTTTAATTTCTCCCCTTTGCTGCACCCTAAACATCTGTCTCTTAATACCATAACAACAATTCAGTGATCTCTAATTCCTTTCGTTGCTCATAGTTCAAATCCTGATCACGAGTTCATCATACTTACAGTGTTTCTTTTAAGTTGTCCAAAAAAGTCTTCCATTCTAGAAGTCCTGTTTCGTGTGGTCTGATTTTGCTCAGGTCGTCTGGAAAATGATTTTCTTGCTTTAGCACAGGAGAACCTGGGGGACCAGATGTGGCCCTCCAGGAATTTCTGTGCGGCCCTTGGCACTCTCCCCCAGACCACACCCTCCTTGGGCCTTTCAGCCAGGCTGGACCATATCCTTGAACTCTGATAAAACTGCTTGCTTCCCTGGATGGAGGATAAAGAGGGATGTGTTCCATCCTATTTGTTCCATTCTCTTTTCCCTCTGGTTCTGCCATCCAGTCTACTCCAGAAGCTTGCCCTGAAAAGAATTCTGCCCTTTAGCTGAAAAAGTTCCCCTACTGCTGCAAAGATATCCCAGGGCTTGAGGATCAAAAATTGCACAGTGGAAGTTGCCTTGTACAGAATCAGACCATTGGTCCATCTTGCTCAGTGTTGTCTACACTGCAGCATCTCTCCCAGGTTTCAGGTAGGGAATCTTGCCCAGTTCTACCTGGAGATGTTTGGCATGGAGCCTGGGACCTTCTACATGCAAAGAAGATGCTCAGTCACTAAGCTATTGCCCTTCCAGTGTGGTGTAGTGGTTAAGAGCAGTGGACTCGTAATCTGGTGAACCGGGTTTGATTCCCTGCTCCTCCACATGCAGCTGCTGGGTGACCTTGAGCCAGTCACACTTCTCTGAAGTCTCTCAGCCCCACTCACCTCACAGAGTGTTTGTTGTGGGGGAGGAAGGGAAAGGAGATTGTTAGCCGCTTTGAGACTCCCTAGGGTAGTGATAAAGCGGGATATCAAATCCAAACTCTTCTTCTTCTTCCCTGTTGGAGTGGGGAGAAGCCTTTCTCCACTTGAGTTGTGCCCTGGCCTTCGAAGGCACAGCTCTAGGTGCTCGCGAACCAATCGGAAGTTCTGGTCAGGAGTCTCACAAGTAGACAAACTGCATTTTTTGCCACTGCTAGGACCCATGTTTGATTTCGTCAGCTGTGTGTATCTGAAAGCACAGCTGCTCACAGGAGGAGGAGTGCAAGAGTCTGATTCCAATTAAATGGCACTTAGGTGGAAATAGGAACGGCACATTCAGCAAAACTTGAGGCTGATCACATTCAGCAAAAATGAAAATTAAATGGTAGAATCCCCCTAGGACTATACCATTTCAGGCTGCCGATGGAAGAATTGCATTTCCAAATGCTAGCTATCCATTTTTTTCAGTCTTCCCTGCATGTAGAAAACTGACACACAAGGGGAAATAATTCCCGTCTAACCCTTTCCTCTGATGTGCTAGTTTTCTACAAGCAAGGAGATTTTTCTTTGTAGGGTTGGTGCTTCTCCAAACGAAAAATCCCCACTTGCGTTCTGAGATGCTATAGTCTCGAAAAGGCATTTGTGTATGCATGTATACGTGTGCACCTTTGATGTACAGTGGTACCTCGGGTTACATATGCTTCAGGTTACAGACTCCACTAACCCAGAAATATTACCTCGGGTTAAGAACTTTGCTTCAGGATGAGAACAGAAATCATGCAGCAGTGGTGCAGCAGCAGCGGGAGGCCCCATTAGCTAAAGTGGTGCTTCAGGTTACGAACAGTTTCAGGTTAAGAACGGACCTCCGGAACGAATTAAGTACGTAACCAGAGGTACCACTGTACTGTACATGATCAGCCAACCCAACACAGATTTTATTGGAACTTCTTCAACACTTTTCGTTGTATATAAATAACAAGTGGTACTTGCAGCAAAATGTTACAGTGTGAGTGTGCCATGTTTATCAGCGTGCTAGCCAGCCACACCCTGTTCCAAGATACTCCATTCCCTTCCATTTCCTTTCCCATCCCCCCCCCCAATTCATAGTCTGCATTTTGTGACTACTGAGCATGCTAATTTCTCACAGGGAGGTTTGTTTTCTCCCCGTTTTCTAAAACAGAAAAATGCTTTTGCACACCTTGAAGTTTTTTCCTGAGCTTGCCAACATTTTCTTCTTCAGTGTCGATGGTGCTGTTTTGGTTATATAAGCAACGGTGCTCACTGTCAAGCTGTACTGTTGGGGTGGGCGGGGAGGAGATTTAGAAAATCACTGCAAGCCAAACCTGTTTCCAAACTTTGTTCTGCCAGACGCAGCCTCCTATAGAATAGGGTCCCAGCGCTGTTTTTCTTCCTAGCAATTTCTGGCTTTTGAAAATCTCCTTACTCATCAATCTGCGCTTGTGGAGAAAATATAGAAACCACAATATATTTCATTTCACTTGCATCTCCCTCCGCCTATTTTATCTGAATCCTGTCTTTATCTGGATCCATGTACTTTGTACTATCCAAAAGCTATCATTAGAGTAAAGAACAAACGGCTTCAGATCACAGGATCCAAAAAATACATTAATCATTGGTATTTTTCTCCACTGTACAGAATATATGAATAAAAAAAAAAGACTTCGTCCAAATTAAACATGACCGGCAGCTGGAAAGTATGCATTTTGCTTATTAAGTGTGATGTGTTTGCTCAGCATTGTTTCATTAAACTCTTCCCCACATGAAATAATTATGCGCAACTGTTAATCTTAAGTCGAGTTTGACCCAAATTGTTTTCAGACATAAAACTTTTAAGCGTCGTCAAGCAACCAGTATGGATCCTTTGATGTTAAAACAGTCTGGATTGCATCAAAAAACATTGGTGCAGTCCATTGGAATTTCAATACTTTAATGAAAGGGTAGGTAAGATTTTTGACCATGTCGCGGATGACATTTCCAAGAAATAGTAGTTACTTGGTGAGTGAGGGACCCAAAATCGGTGGCGGTAGCTTGGTGTTCAGAGAAATGCGAGTTGTTATTACTATTATATAGAATGTGCGTGCATGTAGTTTTTCCATCCATCATCAGAGAAATCCAGTACAACTCTGTCATTCTTTACCACATTCCCTCTTGAGGCTTAAAATTTGTCAATGATAAATGGGTATTTGGATTTCCAGGAGACACAGCACAGATATGTATTTGACTTAAACAGAAGTTAATGACTCGAGATTAGCGGTGCTTTATTTCAAAATGAGAGCTCCTTTTCTGTGGGTCTGGTACCCCCACTTGCAAGACCAGGGCAGACAAAGGGGTGGTTGGTGTAAGTCCTCGCATGGTACTCCATCCTTGGAAGATGGGCAGGATGAGACACCAGGAGTATCTGTGCAGGCATCCCCTGGCAAAATACGGCCAATATTGGGGAGGTCTTGCTCCTCCAGATGTTGTTGGACTCCAATTCCCATCAGCACCAGCCTGCTTGGCAAATGTTCAGGGATCACAGGAGCTGCAGGCCAGCAACATCGGCAGGTTCCATATTCCTGGACTACAGCATCTTCTTGATATGTTAAACGGGTTTGGGATTGAGCAGACAAGTGGAAAACTGTTCCCTGAGAACAATTGCTGTAGGCTGGTGGGTGGAGGGGGAGCTCTAGCAGCACCAGGAAGCAAGACTGGAGCAGCCAAGCATAGTTTCTTTATTACGTCATAGTATCACTGAAGGGACACGGGTGGCGCTGTGGGTTAAACCACAGAGCCTAGGACTTGCCGATCAGAAGGTCAGCGGTTTGAATCCCCGCAACGGGGTGAGCTCCCGTTGCTCGGTCCCAGCTCCTGCCAACCTAGCAGTTTGAAAGCGTGCCAAAAAGTGCAAGTAGATAAATAGGTACCACTCCGGCCAGAAGGTAAATGGCGTTTCCGTGCACTGCTCTGGTTCGCCAGAAGCAGCTTAGTCATGCTGGCCACATGACCCGGATGCTGTACGCCGGCTCCCTCGGCCAATAAAGCGAGATGAGCGCCGCAACCCCAGAGTAGGCCACGACTGGACCTAATGGTCAGGGGCCCCTTTACCTTTACCTTTATCACTGAGTTGGATGAGGCCATGGGTGGGGCCATCTAGTCCAACCCCCTGCAATGCAGGAATCTTTCGCCCATGGTGGGGAATCGAACCCAAGTCCCTGAGATGAAGTGTCTCACGCTCTACCTGGCTGAGCTGAGGGGAGATACTGGAAAAGATGTTCTAGCTCAGCTCTTACCATGTTTTGCAAGCTCTTTACTTGCAGGGAGTTGTTGGTTGCCTGTTTATGATCTTCTGTTTGAAAGATGGAGTCAGCTGGATACCACTTAGTTTTTGAATGTGATTCAGGTGCAGTTGTCATTTTCAAAGCCCTAAATAGTTTGCGACCAAGCACCATCACCTCTATGTGACTCAGCCCATCCTTTCAGAACAGCCATTGCGGCCCACTTGCCTGCGCCATTCTTGTCGGACGCATGGTTGATGGCAGTGCATGAGGAGCCTTTCTGTGGTAGTGTTCCGTTGTGGAACTCCCTGCTCCAAAGGTAAGGTCAGTGGGTCCCCAAACTCCCCACACATATGAACCACTTGAAAATTGCTGAGGGTTTTGTTGTAGCAATTGCAACGCGCTGTGCTAGATGCTGTACGGTCTTTTTCAAATTGCATTTTTACAGACACAGCACAGACCGCCTGAATGAAGCATGTGGCCGCTGGTGGTCTGTGGTCTGCAGTTTGGGTAGCCCTGAGTTAGGTTAATCTTCCTTCCCATTTCTTTCCCACCAGGAACTGAAGACATTTTCCCCCTTCAAATGAGATTTTGATTCCGTTTGCAACTTAATTTAATGTATAGTTTTGTTAAAAAAAAGAAAGTATTTACTTATTTATTAAGACTTATAAGCTGCTTGTCACCTAAGAGACCTCCATCCAGCTTACACTGAAGAACATATAAAGGTAAAGGGACCCCTGACCATTAGGTCCAGTCGCGGACGACTCTGGGGTTGCGGCGCTCATCTCGCTTCATTGGCCAAGGGAGCCGGTGTACATGACTAAGCCGCTTCTGGCAAACCAGAGCAGCACACGGAAATGCCGTTTACCTTCCCGCTGGAGCGGTACCTACTTATCTACTTGCATTTTGACATGCTTTTGAACTGCTAGGTGGGCAGGAGCTGGGACCAAACAACGGGAGCTCACCCCGTCACGGGGATTCGAACCGCCGACCTTCTGATCGGCAATCCCTAGGCTCTGTGGTTTAACCCACAGCGCCACCCATGTCCCGAAGAACGTATACAAAACTATAAAAGAAAACGGAAAAGAAAAAGAGTCTTACAAAACGTTAACATTCCATACAGCGTGTAAATAAAACACAAGGAGCAGCTTCTGCCCAGTAGCAGGGACAGCAACATGGGCAGCGAAGTAGCAATAAATAAATAAATCCAAAATGATGCTTCCACCCACTAACCAGCAGATAAAAATAAAAGCTCAAACACTGTCACGCATCCCTCCCTAGCCCAGAAGTCAGCCGCATCAACATAGTGTTTTCTCTTTGTCTGTTCTCATCTCCCCACTCCACCCAGAAGTCCAGGCAATTTGTGGTGTGTGTGTTTGTGATCCACCAGGGATGAACTTGTGGCTCTCCTCTCTTGCAAAATGCAGAGCAGGAAGAGGAAGTTTCACCTGCTCTGCAGTTGTTTTGGCTGCAGATTCTCTTCTGGGGGGTGCGGTGGGGGTCCAGTTTCAGCCTTTTGTGTTCTTGCTCTGTAGACCCAACACTATTAGAAGCCTTGTTCCATTTGGCATTACCCAGTGCACCGTTGTGATTGAATAAATATTATTTTGTGTGTTTATCCTGCTGGAGATGGGTGTGCCTGATCCAGTTCTTTCAGTGTGGAGGGTGCTGTGCTGGCATAGACGGATGATATCATCAGCCTGCATAAGCTGCTATGAGTGTCTCCTCTGGCTAGGTCAGAGGCATCTCTCTCTTGCTGCTGCGCATGCCACCCCGTGAGTTGGTGTCGTTAATTTGCGGTGGCGACATATCCAGGCAAATGGCATCCCATTAAATCTGGACATCTCGGCTGGTTGAAAGCATTCCACCGGCATGAAGTCCACGCTCAGTGTATTGACAGTGACATCTCTATTTTGCCATTCAAACCACACCCTAAACACTCGGCTGAAGTCATGTTTGGTGGATGCCAGTTGAGATCATGGCTCAGCTGCCTGGGATTCATCCGCCATGATAAAGCTTTAAACTGAATGTTGGTGGGTATGACGTCAGGTGGAGGGTGGTCAGGGACATATGTTGGAATCTCCAACTCATGTCTTTCAGATCGTTTTGCACCATAGCTGTCAACTTACAGATTTGAAAATAAGGGTCTAGCAGCCTCGAAAATAAGGGATCAGCAGCCAAAATAAGGGATTTTCCAAGCACATGTATGTTCAGCTTCTGAGATCCTCCAAGCCAAAGGCAGAAAGCCCAGCCAGCAGTCAAACGAAGCCTCAAGCGGTGGTTCCCACAGCGCAGCAACCCGGCAAAGGGGATGCAGCAAGGAAAACTACCGTCACCTCTCCGCTGGGAAGCGCTGAGCAAAGGCGAGTCCCCAGGCAACGTGGCCGATTTGATCGGCACAAGGCATGCAAGCTCCACCCCCCAGTCGTTCTTAGACTCCTTATTGGGTGAGCAACGCAGCCAAGCAACACCATTGGAGCCTCCCTCCTCCCTGGCCAGCAGGCAGGCAGGGAGAGGAGCTGCTTCCTTTGAAACCAGGGAAATTTAAGGGACATCATCAATAAGGGACAGCAGCGGGACACTGCGCTGGGATAAGGGACTTTTCCACCAAATAAGGGACGGTTGACAGCTATGTTTTGCACCTGCAAGAGCTTTTCTGCACTGGTTCTCTTGAGCCTGGGTGAGAGAAGAAAACAAGGCGAGTTTAATGAGGAGTGTTGCATTCATGTTAATGGCTGTGGATCCCTGGGAACGTCGTGGATATTGCCATTTCCAAAATGTGGAGGTTCAAGTTGTCCCTACTTGGTTGTGGTGCTCACTCCCAGCAGGGTAATGATCGGATGGGAGGAATTGCTGTGAAGAAGCCCTGCCCATGTGATTCTGGTAACCACACAAGCGCACAGCACAGCCACTTGGAATCTTTCATGGAGAGGAACAAGATCCCACATCAAAGTATGCAGGAGTGAAGGGGGGGGCTGGTACCTCTCACCTGAGAAACTGATGGATGGGTTAAGCCAGGCAAACCCACATAAACCCCAGGAAAAGAGGTTAATAAAACAGTTCCCTGTAGACCCAGGAATTGAGAGTAGTTTATCTACCTTCCTATTCTTGTACTATAAACACTGTGCACACTGATGGTCACAGTGTTTATAGTACAATACAATACAGGGACGCGGGTGGCGCTGTGGGTTAAACCACAGAGCCTAGGACTTGCCGATCAGAAGGTTGGTGGTTCGAATCCCTGCGATGGGGTGAGCTCCCGTTGCTCGGTCCCTGCTCCTGCCAACCTAGCAGTTCGAAAGCACATCAAAGTGCAAGTAGATAAATAGGTACCACTCTGGCGGGAAGGTAAATGGCGTTTCCGTGTGCTGCTCTGGTTCGCCAGAAGCGGCTTAGTCATGCTGGCCACATGACCCGGAAGCTGTACGCCGGCTCCCTCGGCCAATAAAGCGAGATGAGCGCCGCAACCCCAGAGTCGGTCATGACTGGACCTAATGGTCAGGGGTCCCTTTACCTTTACAATACAATACAATACAATAGCATAGATACACCAGTAACAACACCCTTATAGTGAAGGGCAGTACAGCTGTACCTTGGTTCTCGAATGTAATCCGTTCTGGAAGTCTGTTCGACTTCCGAAACGTTCGAAAACCAAGGCGTGGCTTCCGATCGGCTGCAGGTGCTTCCTGGACCCAAGCAGAAGCTGCGTCGAACGTTCGGCTTCCAAAAAAACATTCAAAAACCAGAACACTTACTTCCGGGTTTTCGGTGTTTGGGAGCCAAAACGTACGAGTACCAAGGCATTCGAGAACCAAGGTACGACTGTATATAAACCTAATAAAAATAAAATAAATAAATAACAACACTTTGCCTTCTGTTACCATTCTCGAGATTAGAATACATGGTCTTTGTGAATGGCAAAGGAGGAATGTGCAGTTTCTGGTGCAATGCAGAGCTCGCTGGAATAAAGTGCATTTTGGGTGATAAAAAAACCTACACTTTTATTATAAGAAACAAGTAATATTCCAAAGTAACTTGCACAGCATAAGCACATCTAAACGGTATAACCATGTTTAACAATGCATGATAACATCAGATCCCCAGGTGCAGGCAGGGAGAAGGATTTCTGTATTGTGTTTGTGCATTTCCTCAAGACGACATAAAAATAGCATAACCCAACTATGGACAAAAGCTCCCAGGTTCAGTCCCTAGAAGCTTCAGGTAGGTCTCATGTCCTCCTTTGTGCTTCCTAGAAGCGTTTAGTTGGCCACTGTGGGAACAAAGTGCAGGATGTTGATGGAATTTGTATCCTTCTCTTCCTCCCAATAGAGCCCAGGGCAGCAAATATCAAAATGTTAAAACAGTACAGATTAAAATAAATGAAAAGTGTCATGGGTCAACACCAACGGGCCAGCAGTTGGAGGCACTGGCGGACCTACATTTTTGGGCCCTGAAGCTTGAACTGTTATGGGCACCCCTTCACAACCAGCAACAAGTTCTGGGTAGCCACTTCTTCAACGGAGTTGTTCCATGACAGATCACCACAATGTTTTTACAAGAAATTAACTGCTACATCTCAGATTTTGAATAAAATTGCTGTACTGTACTGGATTATCTCACACGTCAAAGGCACTGGTGTGAATAAAAATTTCCTATGCCTTATATTTTTGTTATGGGAGGGAGGATGAAAATTAGGGAAATGTTATATACATGCATTCTACATCATAGAATGATTTGAGTCGTGTGACTCAAATTGGGTCTGCTAGACCCAAAATTATTAAGCATGATGGACTTAAAGTCCCTTCTGGGACCCCTCTGAGATTAGGGGCCCTGGAGCTTAAACTTCATTAGTTTCATAGTAGATCTGCCCCTGGTCAGAGGTAGGGAGGGGAATTACTGGTTTGTTTTGCTTTTGTTTTCTTAGGTGTTTTACATTTACATTCTGCGGGTGGCGCTGTGGGTTAAACTACAGAGCCTAGGACT